ATTAATATTATTACAAGCTTCGAACTGGAGATCCTAAAATCAAGCAAGTACACAAATTTAAATATCTTGGAAATACTTTAAGAGATGCGACGCCGAATTCCGCAGGCGAATTGGGATGACGAAAGATGCTTTCGAAAAGCCAAACAAAGAATTAAGAAATAGAAACATTTCGTTAGAAACGAAGAACAGTTATGTAATATCATCCCTCCTATATTGCAGTGAGTGCTAGACAATTTCCTCACCGATGAATAGAAGACTTGAAGCAAGAGAGATATATTTCGGCAGAAGGATGCGTAAGATATGATGGGCCGAACATGTGAGTATCGACGAAGTTTTAGAACAAAAAGGACTCATACTTGCTACCAGATGGAGACTGGAAATTGCAAGAAGATTTATATTTGAGGGCATTTCTAGGACTCATAATGAAGAAAGAGGAATTAGAGAATATGATACTCTCAGGAGATATTAAAAGCATGGGAAGCAGAGGGAAACACCAAGTATTCTATTTAAAAAGCCTGTGTAGATGGATTGAAGGAAAGGATAGTGTGAAAGAACGACAAATGATAGGACAATATTTTTGGTCCTACAAGACCAATGGATTAAAGTGTTGGTTCATGAATTTGGTGATATTGTAATTGTGAGATTAAAAATAAGAATTAAACCTCAGTGTAGATTGAGCTTGTGAGGTTTTGTGTGTAAAAATAACAAAATCGCTTATCAAATTATGTTTGGTGTTTGACACATTAAATGCCATATAAATTCGGGAGGCGTTTACACATCAATACCCAACGTAAAATGATTAAAAGAAAAAGTTCTAGATATCCCTAGACATTAGTAGTAGAAAGAGAACAGTCTATCTCCATACAGTGTTCAGTTCGGAATTCTCTGTAACTTTCCCAGGTCGATATGCACCTGAGGAAGGCCGGAATGAACAACCGCCGAAACGCTGTGATAACAAAAATCAAAAAATGCTGGCCATGTATATAGTGTAAATAGGATGTTTTAAAGAATCATAATCATCCACTTCCCGAAGGGACATAAAAGAGATCTAAATTTAGATTGAACTTATGAGATTTTGTGTGTAAAAATAATAAACACGCTTATCAAATTATGTGTTTTTTTGTTTGACATATTAAATGCCAAAGTTAAATCGGGAAACGTTGACCCAACGTAAAATGTGTTAAAAATAAGAAGTAGATGAGATATCCCTAGCCATTTGTTGTAGAACAAGAACAGTCTACCTCCATAAAGTGTTCAGTTTGGAATTCACTGTAAGTTACACAGATCGATATACACATGAGGAAGACCGGAAGGAACAACCGCCGAAACGTTGTGATAACAAAAGCAAACAATGTAGGCCATATATATAGTGTAAATAGGATGTTTTAAAGAATCCTAATGATGCACTTCGTGTAGGGACATAAAAGAGATGTAAATGTAGATTGGGCCCGTGAGGGTTTGTGTGTAAAATTAACAAACGCGCTTATCAAATTATATGTTTCTTTTGCTTTTTTTTGTTTGTTTTACACGTTAAATGCCAAAGTTAATTCGGGAAACGTTAACCCAACGTAAAATAAGTTAAAAATAAGAACTAGATGAGATATCCTTAGACATTAGTAATAGAACGAGAACAGTCTACCTTCATAAATTGTTCAGTTCGGAATTCTCTCTAAGTTAGCCAGATCGATATACACCTGAGGAAGACCGGAGCATACAACGGCTGAAACTTTGCGATAACAAAAGCAAACAATGTAGGTCATGTATATAGTGTAAATAGGGCGTTTTACAGAATCATAATCATCCACTTTCCGATGGGACATAAAAAAGATCGAAGTGTAGATTGAGCTTGTATGGTTTTGTGTGTAAAATTAACAAACGCGCTTATCAAATTATGGGTTTTTTGTTCGACACATTAAATGCCAAAGTAAATTAGAGAGGCGTAAAGACGTCAGTAACCAACGTAAAATATAGTATTAATTATAATTAAAATCAGAATGTATATAAATCACAGGTTTCTGAAAATATCAGGTATTACCTCATTGATTGTGTTTTTTACGGTCTATCAACCTGTTTATTTAAAGCCCCCAAATAGTTTTAGTTTGTAAGAATTTTTTGAGATAATAATGATTTACTGATTAAACTATATCTGAGACGAGAGATAGAAGAGGTAGATTATTACCTTTCCAAAGGGTATTGTTGAGTGAATATAACGAACTCGGTTGGTATTCCCATAAGGTCACTCATCTAGTTACTGACAAGGTTCGACGTTGCTTAACTTCTGTGTTCGTACCGGAAACGGCGTTACTACGTTAAATGATCGTGAAGAAATCAGTGTTCATGCGCCATTTGATAGGTCCAGTTTTTAATATTTCTGGCTATTTAGACATCCTCCCCACAAAAATCCTTTTTTGGGGAACCAGTTTAGACTACGATGACCGAACCAGCCATGCAGTGGGTAATACTGGGTTACATGATACCATTACTACTCGTGGACTGACCTATCATAAATATAATAATATAATGTAATAGTGCCCGTTGAAAATTAAGTGAAACTCCAAATCGGAAAAGCTACGTTTAATGTTTGCTTTTGAATATAGATAGGGACAGATTATCACTTAAGCTAGTATAGGCTGCAACCTAGGGTTCCTCAAACTTTTATGTAGCAATAAGTTTAATAAAAAAAGACTATTACAACTAATATAACGAGGCTTTTCCGTTCCCTGAATTGAGCACTGTCAGTCATTGGCGTTTTATTCACAAAGTACGTAAAAATTCGCCTTTATTTCAACAGTGCACCGATGGCTTACGGGGGAAATATGTGACAGTTGCTTTATCAGTCCGGTTTCGATCCCACTTTGAAGCAGTCTGATGTCTAGCCATACTGATGAGATGTGAAACTGTCTGTGGGTGACAATATAAACTGAAATGATATCAATATAACAAACTCATATTTGTTTGCATGGCAGGAAGCAAAGAAAGTAAAATAAGGTTTGAGATTGTGTCGTTGTCTTTAAATAACATTTTGATTTCAGCTCAAAATGTTTACATTTTAGATCTATTTTTCATAAAGCAGTTATTTAATTTTCTAAAAGTTATGACTTCTAAATAGTCTAATAAACTGAAATTATACCATTATCACAAATTCATATTTTTTATTGTTATAATGCTGGTTATAAAAAAAAAATCAGTGTTCTTTTAGGTTTTTTTTTACTTAAGTTTTTTTTTTAATATGTGCTAACTTGGTTTGCCGTAAATAATAAAACAGTGGTGTTTCATAATAAATATTTTTATTCACAAATAAAAGATAGGTATTCTAGTTTATTTAAAGAATTTGCAATAAGTCAATTCAAACTGTGTCATTGTTGCTAAAACATCACAGGTAAAAAATATTCGAGACAGGTGCGAGCGCGTTAGAGGATGATTTGTTTCCATTTAAGGGGAGGCGAGCAACATTATTTTACTAACATAGGG